GCAAAAAATGGAGAAAAGAACAAATTTTATCGTTTTACCCAAAAGAAAGATTCTCTTCACTATGAAATTAGTGTTTATTCTAGCAACTTCCGAGATTAAAACATTAACAAATTTGACGGTACCCTTCCTCAGCTTTTCTGGCAGTTTGTAGTATACAACTCCTACTCTATACTATGCTATTTTTTAGAAAAAGCTCTCTTTAATTTTTTAGCATATAGATATTTCAATATTACAGAATAAAGTTAGTAAAATGTATGTTAAAATCACTACAATTAAATTGAAACGGATCCATTTTACTAACTTTTATCTGTGATACTGACAGCTTTATTTCTTAAAAACTAAATGTTTCTTTTTCCCTTTCGTCTATTCGTAAGACACATTAAAGAAATAAATGAAAGTTTCATGTGAGGCAAAGAGAATCAAGCAAACAGCAAAGAAATTACAGATTTCACAAAATTTGTTTTAAAAAAATGCTTTCTTTAGACATTCTGATAACTACCTAATATTTTCTTTCTGCTTGTCTATGGGTACATCATCATTGTCTCACATCTCATGCTTTTTATCTTCTCCGGAGTTAACACAACGACAAATTTCAGTCAACTTTTCGGTCTGCAGTAACGTGATTTTTTGGTTAAATTTTAAACATAAATCACAGATTTGAGCTTCTTTTTCTTTTAACTGCTGGACGATTTGTTAAAGTAGAATGAACAGAAGAACTCGTTTGTGGAGATGGAGAAGTGACTTTCTGTGTCATTAATGTAGGAGATTTGCGTGGTAGTATTCGAACGATTTAGACAAAACTTTTTACAAACCGAGAAAATTTATTTGACAGAGCTAGAGCGAGAGAAGCAGGATCCAGAAAAATGTAACAGTAGTTATAAATGTTATGCTTTGTTTTCCTTCTAACTTCTGACATTTCTTTTTTTTCTTGTTCAAGGCTCCAGTAAAATATAACGCCTCACACACATGTTTACAAAAACTATTCAAATGTATTGATACAGTCAATCTCGTATTAATACAACTAAAATCTAAAAGCTCATTGAGCAAAGGTCATCGAACGAAGTCAGAGAATATGAGTCTCACCTGAGCCAAATTAGAAAATGAATCTCTCGAAGTTTTCATAGGAAGTCACTAATATGTGATAATCTGAGTATTTTAACTTTTTCTGGGAAATGATACGTCCTGCACTCTAGAAAAAAGTGTGCCGGGAGTACACATAAAGTGAACGGCCTGTAACAACTGTGTGCTACAGTAACACAGTATTTTTTGCACACTTAGAACCGGGGTGTACCCGAACAGTAAGAAACCCTTCTGAAAGAAAGACATAAATTCATTACTCTTTCGATCAAACCTGCCCCCTTGCATATACTTCTTTTTCATGTTTTTCTCCGCTAATTTTGGTTTAACGTTGCAGAAAATATCTGAACTACTGCCACACTTAGAGACACTTTTTTTTACAGTTTGTTTCAAAAGGATAGGATAAATTTTTTCTCGGTTTTCAGCCAACCTGGAAACAGTCTTACATTTAGACAACTTGATATATATATATGGGAACTGTTGGTTTATTGCAAAGTTATATCTGTTGGAATCCCGTTTTTGTACTTGCTAGCAGCAAATTGCTACTGTATTGCTCAAATGTTAGCGAAAACTGGCTCTTAGATTCTAAATCAACTGACGAAAACTGGAATTACAGAATATATGGATAGTTTATACTCTGGCAACAAAAACTGAAACTACTTAATATTTAAGTTCTGTAGTCAAAATTGTATAATCCTTTTTTTGTTTCACACCATCACACTATTGAGAAAGTAAATAAAAAGTTTTTTCTTTCGTCTGAAATATGCTGGTAGAGTACATACAGCAATAATAACGCACAACAATAATTTGAAGTGATTTCATAATTGACTTCTTTCAAGAAAAAAAAAAACATTGATCGACTGGTGCAGAACGAACGAAAGAAAATACAACACTAAGACAACAACAATGGCAAATAAAATGTTGCATCTTTTCTTTTCAATGATGCGAAACACCAACAAAGAAATAAAATCAATTGTGTGCACTTCTTTCCCCTTTAAACGATAATAAAAACTAAAAAAAGGTGTGTTTGAAATTAATTTTGTTGTACAGTATTACAAAAAAAACAGGTATAAAGATTTAGTTTCACATCTAACAAAGACAACGAACGTTGTACGTAGAGAACTAAATTTCACAATCGTGTACTTTATTATGTCTTGAAAATGACACAGTTCAACTGTCGAAACTGTCGAAAAAATTACTAAAGATAACCTTCAGAGCTGCTGTTAAAGTCACTTTATGGTATTATTGCCAATCGATATGAACAATTACCTTAACATGTTTTATCTTAACTCAAGCATCATTTTATATATCCAAAATATTCAACTTTAGTTGAAGTAACATTTGTGCAAAAAACTAAGACAAATTCTATGCACATAGTTTTGCATAATGGAACAGTTTAATTATGCATAATTACCGTTACGAT